AGAGTACCCTCCAGGCAAAATCAGGGCTCTACCAGCAAGAAAGATGATAAGGCATTGATTTGTGTGGGTTACCACAGTGTCTTCTTCTGAGGACTTTACCCCAAATCAGACTTGTTAACCCCTGATCTCAGTATCCCAATTATCTGTGCATAGAGCTACAGGAAGAACAGAATTAAGACATGGAGCAGATTTCAGGGGGATGTGATCAATTTCAATACTTCTTTTTTTTTTTTTTTTTCTTTTGTCTTTTTCCGTGTCCGGCAACGGATCGCAACCCTCAGTGTTGCCCCCGTACCGGACCGGGGACCGGCAACGGGATTGCAACCCTCGGTGTTGCCCTCGCGCCTCGCTCAGCCAGTGAGCGGGAACCGGTCCGTATGTGGGATCCGAACCCTTGGGCGGGAGCGCCGCCGCGCTTCCCAAGCGGCGCACTATCCAGTGCGCCACCGGACCAGCCCAATTTCAATACTTCTGCAGAAAATTCCTAACTATGTGAGAGCAAACTGATTCAGGACACACCTCTCACCTCCTTTTAGGGTGATGGGGTCCTGGTTTAGAAGGCTGAGCTGGGCCCATGCTAGTATTCATATCTGTCTCAGGATTTCTAACCAGTTAAGGCACCTCCTGGAAGGAACTCCCCAGAGGGAACTAGCTCTGATTCACCAGCTAGAATACCAACCCTCTGTGGTCAAGAACCAGAGCCAGATACATCATTCTGGCCCCTCTGCCTGGTGGAGTGTCCCTAATATAATGGGTGTCACAATTGTTTGTGGATAGTCTTTAGCAGCATTTTTATAGGATAAATACAGCATCCCAGCACACTTCAAATTATAGCAACGCACAATTTTATCTCTGTAATAATGCACTCAACCACACATTGATGAAATAATGCAGTTGTCATTACTTACCATGATGACTTCTAAACTATACACTGAAATTATTTTAGGTTTTATGAGACGTGGGCAGTGGAAATTAGTTGCAAGGGAGTTCGTGTTTAAGGAAATGAGACCAATCCTGAGTAGCCATTAGAAGAATAAGAGTTCTGCACACGAAGGGACAGAAGGAGGCTTATTTTCCTCAACAGTCACTGAATGGAAACTTCCATAAAGGTTCTGTGTCCAGGATCTCACAAGAGATGTTTTCCTTCGGGAAGTCTCCTTTTGTTTACTCTCCATGAGCTGCAAGTTTTCTTATCAGTGAAAATGAAGAAGGGGCAACCAGGGCTGATGGGCCTGTTCGTGAAAAACAAGATGAGCAGAGTTCCTCTGCCAGCGCGAGCTGGCGTCTGCCGCGGACGGGCTCACACGCGATGGGAGCACAATATGCGTCCCCACTTGTGTCCAGACTTGCCTCACGGGTCTCTCATTTTATCTTTAAAGCAACCCTGAGGGGTAGGTCCGGCGGGGACCTCGGTCTCATCAGGCAGTTGAAGGATCTGGGGTTGAGAGGGGTTAGTTCAAGGCTGCATCCCAAACACAGGCCTGCCCCCACCCCCCAGGCCCGTGCACTGGGGTATACAGATGCCCCTGGGGAAAGCACGGTGGCAGCATCCCCAACACAGCCTCCTGAAAGGAGCACCGAAAACACAATTATCCAAGGACGGAACCTCATACGAGAGGGCTTATCTTTGCTTAGACACTGGGATGTGTTCTCTAAGGAGGGAAAGCGAGGCATGCAGCTTGGGGTCGGGCATGTTAGCAGAGTCCTGGGGAGGGGCGAAGGAAGGTGGCCCTCCCTGTCATTGGCACAAGGGTGGCCACGCAGGCAGGCCACACAAACCTCTCCTTCCTAGATTCAGAGTCCCAGATTCCTTAAACTGCAGAACCTTCCCAATCCAAAGCAGCAGGTTAGTGGAGCCTCCAAGAGCCCAGCCTCTGGGTTCGAGGGGCCGGGTTTAAACCAGGTTCCACCCTCACCAGCGAATGATCTTGGAGGAGATTGTCTCCTCTTCTCTTTCCTTCGGTCTCCTCATCTATAAGTGCAGGTAAAATTAGTTGATCTCTTGGGGCCCTTGGGAGGAAAAACTAAGATTAAGCACTTGAAGCACTTGGCATGTTGCCTAGCATATATCAAGTGCTCGACAAAGGTTGCAATGGCTATTACGATTACACAGGACGAACAGGGAGTATCAATAGGTCGTGCTGAAAGTTACCATGCTAGAGTAATTTTAATTAACGGACGCAGATGAGATGACTGTCCTCTCAAACCCATCCTATAAATACAACTTAGAAAATGATTCGTCTTGGTCCTTTTTGTTTTTAACAGAATATCAGATCTTTCATTGTCATTTGGTTGTTCTTTCCTGCTGTCGCACTCCGTGCAGAATGCACTTGCTGTTACTCACCTTAGCAGCAGTTAACGCCCAGCATTGCGTGTATGCTTGCAACGTTCAAAGAAAGCCACTTCACATCCTGAAAACTTAGGTGGGTGAGGCCTGCGTCGTTCTCACTTCTAATCTTGGGGGAGAAATGATAGGCTATTTTCCCAGAAACCCTCAAATTGCAAGCACCCCTCAGAAACTGACGCGACCTCACCCTTCAGTTCAGAACTGGTGCAAAACCAATGTTCAAGTGCTCCGTCGACATCTTGTGCAAATTTGATTCTAAAGAGCTTTCAGCTGAGCCGGGGAGAGCCAGAAGAGAGAGCTGTTTTAAGGATAAGTGAACAACGTGTACGAGACAGCCGAATGAGGACAGAGAACTGCCTGCGTACCAGCTGACACAGCGGATTTCTCTCCTGGCAAGTGCCAAGTTGGGGACATCAGACATGCATAAGGTTGCAAAGGAGGAAAGGAGAGAGGTTGTCTAGATGGGAGAAAGAGCAGTTAAATCAAGGAGTAGCAAGTTCTGCGCTGGTTCTCTTCTTACTTTTTTCATCATTTCAGACCTTTTATCTTTTGCTCTTTGCATATAATTTTGTCATTCTTTGCTATCAGACGACCATGGTAGCAGAACAGTCTATAATTTTGGTGACAGGATTGTTCCCAGAGCCCAAGCTCTGGAGACAACTGTAAAGGCTCAAAACAATAAGGCGAGACGTCCGTGGTCTATTGAAAAACTCACAAATGAGGAATCAAAAGATCGAGGGAAAAGTTCAGATTGGGGCAAGGATGGCCGTGGCTCAGTATTAAAGTCAGCCTCCCCGGTTGCTAGAGATCAAAGTGATGGGGCCTTTTGAGGTTACTTTTCTGGAGAACATAACATAAATGATTTCATCTAAGTATCAAATGTCACTCGACTCCCCAAGCACTTATTAGTCAAATCAAGGTCAAATTAAGGTTGCACCATAAAGCAAGGGTTTCAATCTTTACTTCTTTTCATTTCCAATATTTTTACTGACAGGGAGCTGCAATGGTCCCTAAATGATTTATCAACCAGATTTCAGTGCCTAACAAATGGCATCCAAGCTCTTTTGATACAATCTAGCTCCTAACAATTAGCTTCTGCAGCAACGTGAATGAATTCAAGGCTTTCTCATTTTTTAAGAAAAACCTCTAAACCCACATACATGTTTACCAATGTGTAAGTTTCAACATGTTTCTACGAGGTAAGGGCAATGTTTCATCTCACAATAGTGACCTGGAAAAATGATATTAATATTTTGTCTATTTTCATTTTAATATAAACATTTAATGGGAAGTAGTGATTTATTTTATATAATGTCCATTTTAAAGTTTACAACTAAAACTAATTGACATGCATTAAGTCATTCAGCCAGTATATATTGAGCACCTACTCTATGCCCAACATTATGCTAGGCAACTGCAATCAGAGAATATCTATTCTCTGTCTTGAGGGGCTTACAGCTTATTGATATGGGGTGTATAAAAAGTAATAGATTCAGGAGTCTGGAGACCTAAGATTGACACCTAAGGCAGGCTCTCACAGCTTTGGATGAGAAGACAACCCAGGATGTGCAGAGATTCCAGAGCTGCGTGTTTGACTCCTTTCTGGCCTGGGCCTGGAGTGAGCAGCCTAGGTTTTAGCAGAGTGAGGATACTAAGAGATGTGGATAAAAGGGGGATTGCAACTACCTGACTGAAAGGCTTGCAGGCAGGTTCAACTACCATGCAGGACACAAATTGTTCACAGTCAATAACGATAAAAACTAAAGCCATCGAGCACTTGCTATGTGCCAGGCACAGGGCTAAGCACTTCCCTGTATTACTGAGCTTTATCTTCCCAACACTCTTTGAGATACCATTATGTTGCCATTTTACATATGGGGAAACTGAGGCTCAGAGGGCAAGAAACTTGAGCAAAATCACGGGAGCCTAAGTATTTGAGCCAGAATTTAGAGTTGGATCTTTTTGGCTCAAGACTTAAAGAGACCCCACTGGGGTCTTCACCATCACTTAGCAACCATTAAGCTTGTCGCTTAGTATCTGCAAAGTGCCTGCACATGCTACACACTGCACCTGCTGAAGAGTCTACCAAGTCTGGCCTAATCACTTCTTTCTTTAGAAAGTGGATCTTTTCTCAACAGCATCTACAGAGCATGATGGTCTTGCCACACCTACCACTTAAGAGTACTCCAGTCTTGAAGTACTTCTGATGGCCTCAAAAGTGATGGACACACCCAGGTACTGAGCAGAGACACAGCCAAGATATTGAGCAGCTTTACAATTACCAATGTTGTGGTATTAGTATATAGCCATTTCCAATTTCATATAATCAGGTAATATTTTTGAACTAGTTAACAATTCATGACCTTTTAAATAAATGAGTGTGCCAAGCAAGGGCTAGGCATTGAGGCCATTGTCTTGAAGGATTGAGAGGACTCAATGGACAGGTACCCAGTAGGGTGACAGGCACAAGTGAATGAGCCTTGGATTCAGTTTAGACCTAGACACTAATATCAAAAAAAGCAGAGATGATTGACACAGCCTTAGGACCCACCAGAATCCCACATACCATCTTGTGATCCATCCCCTCGCTCAGCAAAGGCCTAGAGAATGAACATGACCAATCTGAAAAATCATCCACAGAAAATGTCCCCAATCGTTTGATTGTATAAATAATTTATTTCTGTTCACAGCATCATATATGCATTATAAAAGGGGATGAAAACGAAAAGGAGGATGACCAAGACAGAGAATTACAGCAGTAGAAACAAAAACTGAAACCAGAGGACACAGTCCCAACACCAGAACAGAGAATCCGTGAATTGTTCTGAAATAAAACTGGCCTCCCTGTGTCTGGTAGAAAACATTTCAAAAGCTCACATGGGGAGGCCACCTTCCTCTATGTGGAACCCATTCATTCTCCAAAGGGCAGAAGGCATAATAAGTCACTGATGGATGTGTTGGGGGGACTCCCCCTGGGTGGCCACTCCAAGGTAATTTTATCTGTGCTTCCTCTGTAGGGTCAGAGACGAAATGGGCTATTATTAGGTCAAACATTACAGAAATCAACTGAGACTCTTAACTATTGATACACCACAGGGCTTTTACTTTACTGCACAATTACTAACAGTTGACTGCACCCTTAAGTATTGATATCGCAAGAAAACAAAATTATCTCGCATCATTTTTAAAGCATGACAGAATTTGAACAGTGACCTCGAACCTATGTATTGTTAGCATGAGAAGGCTACAGTATTTGGCATCTGCAATGTCACAAAATAAATATATTATTCTCTCAATAGTGTAGAACTACCAAAATGTCAAAGTGCTTAAGAAATTGTTGCATGTGAAGAAAATAAAGAAAGATGGATTTTTTTAAATTTTAATAATTCTATACAGAATCTTCAGATGATGGGACCAGCCCATTTAGAAATCAGTGAATAGGCTGTCAATATGTAAACTGAAATCTTGCAGGCTTTTCAACACTGCTTGCTATACTTTCTCTACTGAGTTTCTACAAAAAGACCAGCATTGGAGGGGTACCAAATACACCGACAAAAGAGAAAAAGAAGATGGGCTGCTAGGTTTCTGCCTTTACAAAATTTCACGTTAAGAATTGGATTTCAAACAGGAAGCCAGAACTTCTGCCTCTGGTTCTTAAGTTAACTTTCAGAGTGTAATGACAATAGGGATGGACTATAATTTGACTAACTCACATGCTCAAGCATGATCATGTCCAATTTCTATAGGCCTCCTTTGTAAAGAAATATATAAGAGTGGGGGGAAGTCATAATTCTACTCGAAAACATGGATTGGAAGAGGAAATTTAAAAAAACAATCAAACAGTAAGTTTTAAGTTTCCCTTCTGATACTGTGTTTCAGGGTAAGTGACAGCTTCTGCAAACCAAGACTCAGTCCTGATTATAAAGGATTTTTAAAATTACATTATTAAAAATATGCATTTATTCTTCTTTCACTTTATCTACTTTCCAAAGCCTTTTTCAAGTAAACTGTGAAGTGCCTGAGTACAGTGACCATTACATCAGGTGCTTTATTTCATCTCAAGCACTCATTGTGGTTTGCTTTTGCCCAAAGTGTTGGCTGGCTACGAAGGCCAGTTCCCGCAAGAATGAATTCCGGACTTCATCCTGTGCTTTTTCCTTCACTTTTAAATTCCATGCAACGTGGTCAGCTTTTGCAACAAGGTGGGCTTTTATTTTTTGGTGCATGACATTGAATATTCTAATGAGACATATTTAATGAGAAATACTTAAACCAGATAGGCCACAATGAACCAAATTAGAAATCTGAACACGTCGCCACTTGCAGCGTAAAGGGATATAAAAGGGCAGAGCAAAGTCTTTTTTCCTAAGGTGAATATTTCTAAGGTGAGTATTCACTTGTAAAACTTTTTTTTTTTTTTAAACATGTCTAAAAAACCCATCATCACGCGATTAGTACTACAAGAGACATCCCTTACAATTCAGCACACATCTGCTGCTGGTGTGCACACCCAAACCAATCATTAGGCTAAGAGAATTTAAAATTCCACACATATGGATCTAGGTATTTATGCTGATTACACAGTAGAGGGAGGTCCCTGTACCCACACACACACCCCATCCAGCATTTACGCAAAAGAGCCTTACCCTTTAAACACCTTTAACCATCCTGCAAATAGTAAATGCATCATTTGCCACCACCTCTGACAGGTTTTTCTTTCCTTTTCTTTTTTTTAAAATTTTTATTGGTCTCTTTGTGTGATAATGACCTACACATGGACAGGGTCCAAACCATCTGGAAGATGTCTGATTCCAGGCTGAAAAGAAGTTCTCAGCAAAACTGGTCTTCTGTAGCCCACCACAAAGCACCAGGAAAGGGGCATCTCCGCAGCCATTCCCAGCCAAGGCCAGCACAGAGCCCGAGCCCTCTCCAGCTGCCATGCCGCATTGTCCCAGGCAGTCCTCTGATGGCTCAAGCCCCAAGACAAATGACATTTCAACAGGGGCCTGCCCTGTGACATAAAACTACTCAGCTTCCACAGCCCCTGAATGCAAGGGGTGGTGGTACCCCCCAAACCACTCCCCAAACCACCCCCCAGTGCCAACATGCGCCCAGCTGGGTCCTGCCAGGACTCTGGGAGCTGCATACCTCAGGTAACTCACAGGTGCATCCCCCAGTGGGGGCGGGGCAGCCTGAACTTCTGGCCCTGCTGGAGTAAGAAGAAATCGCTTTTGTCTCTCAGATATCTGAGCCTTCCACTTGGGCCTCGGACTGGATAGCAGGACCGGCACGTCCACTCCCCACCGCGGCCCCCCACCCCATCAGTAGCTCTGGCGTTCAGACAAAAAGGTCCCCTGAGCCGGGGGTGTGGGCAGGTTGAGAGCAGGCGGGTTGTCACCAGTCCCGCGTGTGGGTGCAGGGATTCCGTGTTGACAATTCTAAGCATCGCTTTGGTTCGCTGTCTTTGTTCGCGGGTTCTCGCGCGCCCACCCATCCATTCATTCATTCTTGACTCGCTCGCCCGCTCCCCCCTCGCTCCCGAACGCTGCCGGGCGCTTTACCGCTTCTTCTTTTGCTTGAGGGACTTCCTGCGTTTCAGGATCATCTCATAGAGCTTGTCCATGCCCTCGGTGAGGCCCTCGCCGATGATGGCGCACGCCGGCTGGACGTGGTAGGTGGTGGCCGGGATGAGCTCGTGCAGCGCCAGCTGTTTCTCGATCTCGGCCACCGGCAGCGACTTGGGCAGGTCCTGCTTGTTGGCGATGACCAGCAGCGGCGTGCCCTGGTTCTCGGCGAACTTGGTCACTTTGTGCAGCTCCGTCTTGGCCTCCTCCAGCCGGTCCACGTCCACCGAGTCCACCACGTAGATGATGCCGTCCGTGCAGCGGCTGTAAGACTTCCACAGCGGCCGCAGCTTCTCCTGGCCGCCCACGTCCCAGAAGTGGCAGCTGATGCCCTTGGCAGTGCCGTTGCTCAGCTTGATTTTCTCGGTGTTGAAGCCGATGGTGGGCACCGTGTTCACGAACTCGTTGAACTTGAGCCGGTACAGCACCGTGGTCTTGCCGGCCGAGTCCAAGCCCAGCATGACTATGTGCAGGGACTGGAAGGCCGAGATGTTGGAGGAGATGTTGCCCATGGCTCCTGGCTGCGGCGCCGGCCACTGCGGCTGCGGCGGGAGGGCGCCGCCCCCAGAGCGGTCACGGGCCCGACGCGGCCG